TAAATGCTCATTTAATGCACCCCATGCTACATAGAGTAATTGCAGATGATTGGCCGCAATGTCAGGAATACTTTATCCCAAAATAGTAACCCGCCAACTTTATCGGGCTCTACTAGTCAAGTCAACTGTTCGCGCATTAAATGCAGTTGTCCTCCTACTCCTCCAACGGGAAGACAACCTCAGTATAAAAGATACACTACGAAGAACAACCGGATAACTTTGCTAAAACTTTGCTACAACTTTGCCAAGACTACATTGCAACTTTTGCTAACCACAAGCAAGATATTCAAACTCTGAAAAGCAAAAAGCCTCCTTGAGATTCAAACTCATTATCCTCTACAAGAGAAGGCAGAAGTTGGAAAAATACTCTTTCCAACTCAAGCAAAGTTCCAAGTGTTCTTCAACTCTTCAAGCTCATCACATACAAATCTTTTGTAACGAAGCTAGTTGGAGGAACCCCAGTTTCAACAGAAACTCTTCTTGCTACAAGAAGGACGTCCAAATAACTGGAGTAGTGAAGTGGTGATACTTCAAGGAAACTCAGTGAAAGGACCAGTGTTAAAGGAAGCCAGGCAGTGCATCCCAGGACACATCTAGGCTTGAAGAAGACGTGGAGTGCTTCTTAAGTACTAGGACTAAGGCTTTGTAAACGACAGTTTTTACAGCTTAGTGGAACAGTGGATTAGAGGAACGAGTTGTTCCTTGAACCACTATAAAAATCCCTGGTGTCGTTTACTTACTGCTTTTAATACTTGCACTTAGTTAGAACTGTATAACTCCTTGGACTTGGTATCTGTGTTCAGCAGAACTTGTTTTACGAGTTAACAGAAGGCCTTCTGCCTATTGCTTCTCTGAGGCTAACAGAACTCCTTACCAGAACCCCATCCGCTGCCAGTCTGTTCCTTCAACAGAACAGGCTATTCTGTAAATCTGGTACTTAGTTTAAAAAGCTAAAAACCAATACAGTCTATTCACCCCCCCTCTAGACTGTATCAAGTATAACCGGGACCAACAGCTATCAATTTGTTTTTATAGCCCACTTGATGAAGAAGGTATTGGGATTGACGAATATGTTGTCACATTTCTTGCAACAAAAAGATCAGAACATTCTTGAGTCTGTGAGCTTGATTAAAAGCACTAAAGAGAAGTTCCAAGATTTGAGAGAAAGTGGATGGGAAGAGCTATTAGAAGATGTCAGTAAATTCTGTGTGAAGAATAAAATTGATATTCTAAACATGGAAGATACAACTCATCGTTCTAGACACGTTTGCCATCCGGTAACAAATTATCATCACTTTCGAGCTGATATTTTTTATCAGGTATTTTTTATTAAAATTTAAATTATTTATTAGTTGTTATTATTATTATTATTATTATTACTATTACTACTACTTTTTATTATTACCTTATTGTAGGTTATAGACCAGGTCAATCTGGAAATGGAGAATCGCTTTAGTGAGTCAAATACAGATTTACTCGCTTGTTTAGCTTGCCTTGATTCTAAAGATAATTTTTCCAATTTCTGTGAGTCAAAGCTACTCAGTCTTGCGGAGTTATATTCATCTGATTTTTCAGCTGTTGAGCAAATGGAGCTTAAAGAACAACTCCAAGTTTGGATATATGAGATGAGAGGAAATGAAGCATTTTCCACTTTACAAAGTATTGGTGAAGTGTCTAAGAAGATGGTTGAGCTTACAATTCACAAATCTTTTCACTTGGTCTATCGTCTTATTGAGTTGGCTCTAGTGTTACCAGTTGCAACAGCCACAGTTGAAAGAGCTTTCTCATCGATGAATATTATCAAGACAGATCTTCGCAATAAGATGGGAGATGACTATCTTACGGATTGCTTAGTATGCTACATCGAAAGAGACATTTTTCAAGCAATTGATAATGAAGCTATTATGCAGCATTTTCAAAATATGAAAACTCGTAGGATTGATTTGCCTAGGTTGCAGAAGTAAATCAAGTAGTATGTAATGAACTATAATTTTTTGTTAAATTATTACGCTATTGTTTTTCTTATTATATTTTGGACACGAACTTTAAAATTTTTAGTCTTTGGTTTGCCCCTCCTTGGACAAACCTCTGGCTCCGCCACTGCCTGGTAATATAAAGTAGTTCCCCTCCTTTACAGAGTCTGAGAAAAAAAAACCATTATCACGTTTCAAAGCAATGAAACTATTATACTATCGGGCCAAGTTAACACTCTGAATAGCACTTAGCCAAGCAAAGAGTATGACATATATAAAAAGATGTATACCTTCTTGACATGCTCGTGTCCTTCTATACCCATTTTTTGTCATTATGAACAGAAAAAATGTATGGTAAAGTCAAACATAAATGTGAAAAAATGAACAATTGTAAATTATATACATTAATATGCACGTCAACTAATGAAAAAATAGAAAAATGCAGACAGTGACTAAACATATTACAAGGCCACTGGGCTAAAGTAAAATAGCAAATAATGTTAAAAAATTAAGGTGATTAAAACCTATTCAAGATGCAATGATAATGTGTGTGTACAATTAGTTTATATATTACGGAATATGTTATTAAATCACATGTTCAAAGAGCATATATAATAAAAACTCACTTGGAAAGAAGAAGTAACCAACTTACCTTGATTGAGAGCATTCAAAAACTTCTTTATACCACCGTGTAATAATTCCAAGAAAGTAGGTTATGAGCTCTTCTGACCTTATTCATTATATTCCTCTCATAATATTACTGCAAAATGAAGAAAGGTAGAAGGTGTATACTATCGAATGGTGAAAATAATTGAACAAATAAACGACACAAAATGGACCTGCCACCTATTTACTAATCATGCTAGTTCTATCTCACACAAAAAGGTAATCCTACCTTTATGCATTAATCATACGAACATTTGTGTCCTGGCTAAGTGCTCAAATTTTAAGAAGAAAACTTCCAAGTTTGCAACCCAGCAAGAATTTTTCCACATCTAGCTATGGTAAAGATGAATGTTCTATAGAAGAAGAGGCTGAAAGGAAAATATATAGGATGGTTGTTGTAGCTAATTTTTGCCGAGACTGCAACTGCCGTACCTTATCAGTTTTTTCCATACTTAGGAGACAATATGATGCAGCACTTTGAGCATTCTTGTTCCTTTAGTATGTCAAATAACCAAACAGTTCAAGACATAAGCATTCTTGTTCCTTTAGTATGTCAAATAACCACAAAAATCGCAAAGTTTCATACACAAACTGAAATAATTTATACATTGCATAGCACAGACCTGAAATAAACTATAGCATTCCTTAATTCTCAAAAACAATCAAATGTAAATATTAATTTCTAGCGCATATCCACAGCATGAACATAGCAAACTAATCACTAAGTGAATGGATACTTACATCAATGCGAGTATAGCAGTTGGAATAAAAAAAATTGGATGTTCCAAGAAGCTTTAAGTTGGTTCACACGAAATGAATAAACATAGAAGGGGATTAAATATATATGTGTAAGGAATAATTGTATTTAGATTTTGATGATGCCATATTAATTAGGACTTTAGATTACCCCTTTAGAAATTATGTATTAGAATTTTCCTTTGTAAAACTCTTAGATGTATTCGACTTGACAGAAGTGCTTCAAGAGCAGAAGTGCTTCAAGAACAGAAGGGCTCCCAGAGCAGAAGTGCCTCTTAAGGCTTTATTGAAACAGAGGACCTTTGGTTCTCTGCTCCAGAACAGAAGTCCTCAGGACCTCTGTTAGTATTGACTCTGACAGAAACCCTTCTGGGTCTCTGTTGGATACTCCCAACAGAAGTGCTCCAGACCCTCTCTGTTCTACTCTCAGACAAAGACACCAGAAGGTCTGACACTTAGAAGATTTTCAAAGAACCGGGAAGTCAACTTAAAGATTCCTTCAACGGCTAGGAGTATAAAACGGAAAAGCTACAGTGCATGCATTAAATGCTCATTTAATGCACCCCATGCTAAGTAGAGTAATTGCAGATGATTGGCCGGAATGTCAGGAATACTTTATCCCAAAATAGTAACCCGCCAACCTTACCGGGCTCTACTAGTCAAGTCAACTGACCGCTCATTTAATGCAGTTGTCCTTTTACTCCTCCAACGGGAAGACAACTGACGTGCACTTTGTCGTGCGGTGCACTCAAAATAAATACAATACAACGAATATACGTACTATAACGAAGTAAGGTTCGTATCCACAGGGAAAGGAATACTTTTCTTTTATATAAATAGTAACAAAAAGGGGGGTTTAGATTTTTTTGTTTTAACAACACTAAGATAAACAACCTATATGAGTATAATGCAATGAGATGGGGACTTGGTCTTGCTTTTATCCACTTAATGAAATGTTCGTCGATGCCGGTTATATCTTTAACTATCTTCCTCTCGAATACTCAATCGAGGAGTATATCCAGTTCATCGAGGGTAGTTATTAATAACGAGATGCGTTCATTAATAAAACTTACTATCGAGTCAATATAGAACAAGCGCCGTATATTAACTTGATAGTAGCAATAAACTTAAGATGAAAACGATTGAGATTGATAACCTCAACACAAGTGGTTTATTGGTTTAATCAATATAATTAATTCCCCTTGGCATATTAACCATGAGATGCATGCATTAATATTCCAAGATTACTACCGTTGAAAGAACCGGATTAATAACAAGCGTATTAACCGATTGATTCTAGTAATAATTAATATGAGAAACAATACTAGTTGATACTTTAAGTAATGTTTAAGATATTAACATGAAATATGAATAGGAATTAATCAATACTCAAGGAAGAATATTAAAATATATGAATCCTACTATGATTAATATCAAGATGTTAACTAATTGTCATCTTAGCAACACTCCCCAATATAATCATAGAGGAAGAAATAGCTATTACTATAACCAATGTCAAGATGTTAACTAATTGTCATCTTAGTAACACTCCCCAACTTTGATATAGAGATAGTATTTTGAAAGAAAGAATTAATATTCAAGGAAGAAGATTAAAGAAAAATAACTCACAACTTACAAATTCATTAAGCTTCAAAGTAGCAAAACCAAGATGGAAGAGTTTAGCTCCTCATTTGGAGACTAAACATGATGAAAAATATAAAGAAAGAGCTATTCTATACTGAGCTTAGATGTACAAGGGATTGGATATCAAATGGGAAGGAAAAGAGGTGTATTTATAGGTGTTTGGAGGTAGCAGGGTCATTTACCCGACCGGGTTTTACAGAAACCCGATCGGGTTTCTTGAGTAATTGCCCGGAATGTTCATTAGTCACATCTACCCGATCGGGTTTTTGATTTACCCGATCGGGTAAAAGACAAATCTTTTCCAAATCTTCGCTCTGCATGTTAAATTGCCTCCAAATCAAATTTGATCTTCGGGTCAAGTCAAACCCGGTCGGGTTTTTGGAAAACCCGGTCGGGTTTTTTGACTATTTTCCCAAATTTTCACTTTTTGTTGTTCCCTTGCACTTTCCTTGAACCTTCCAGGATCCTTTTGACGATCTTTACCTAGTTTAAGCTCAGAAAGTCCCTAATCTAAACAAATTACAACTATTTTACAAACTAAACTATTACACCAAAAGTGTGTAATATCCAAAGTGAAAGTCAATCAAAACTAATTAAAAATACAAAAATAAACATGGAAATTACATGAATGTCAACTCCCCCACACTTAGTTTCTTTACTCGTCCTCGAGTAAAGCCAAATGTTTGTACAAGTGTTAACAAAAGATCATAAGTTCAAGAATAGCAAGAAAGAACACAAGACCACCAAGGGTTGCGAATGAGTTACAAAACAACATTTTCTTGGGTTTGTTGGTCTTCTATGTTCTTTGTTTCTCCTTCTCCTCCTCCTTTTTCTTCTTCTTTCTCCAAGAGATGATATTCTGCAAAAAAAATACATATTTCTCTCATATCTCTCATTTTGTCTAGGAGCCTCTTCAGGTTTTCATCCTAGCATCTCTCTTTTATTTTTCCATCCTTACCTCTCACTCATTTTTTTTTGAAGCCCTTTTTTGCTTAGATTGCCCGTGTTTGGGTTTTCAATCTAACTAGCATTCTCTTCTTGTTTTTATTTTATTTATTTATTTTTTTCCTTCTTTTTTTTTCTTTTTGTTGTTTTTTTAGACAAAGAAAATAATGCAAGTTATCATGGTAGAAAATGAAGGTGTACATACCAAATGAGTGCCCCCTACTTTGTCCAAGCACTGTCCCTAGTGCTCCGTGTCATTAGCCTCGTCGTGGTAGCCACCATAACCGCTGCCCTCACCGCCATAGCCTCCTCCGCTCCCGCTTGCTCCACCAAAATTACCCCAAAAAGAGGGGTCATACCATGTAGGGTGTTGATGCTGAACTGGTATGGATGAGAAATAGCCCTGATTATCAAAGTAGACATGTATAGGTCCCAATGCCCTACGTTGATTTTCTTCTAAACGGTCGAGTCTCAAGCGTTGTTCCTCCCGTGCCTGTCGGACTTCCTCATAGAGATTATTAATTCTCCCATCCGTAGCCGTTTGGTTAAGATGGATTTGGTTCATCCCGGCTAGCATTTGTTGCTCAAAAAGGCTAAATTGAGGGGCGTGAGGGTCTGGTTGAGGTTCATTTTGTGGCGGGTTGGGGATGTATGGGGGTGGCTCAATCTGTGCTGGGATTTCTTCAGGGATGATGTAGTGTTCCGGGATTGCTCCGGGAAGGCAAAAGTGTCTTCCATCCCCGAATTGTGCATCAAAGATGTCAGTGGGGAGTTCTGTCTCAGTTGGAAGGATAAAGAACCTTTGTGGGGTTGTGTTGATATGCCATTTGTAAAAAAATTTATCCCCGAAGTTGTGAGAGGAGCTTAAATCATGGGCATTTAGGAGAAATTGAGTGCATACAAGACCCCACTCAGGCATTGGTTGCCTCTGAGTATACCCAAATTTAGAACAGATATGGAGTATTATACCCCCAATAAACAAATCACCTGTGGCATCACACCATTCTTTTCTCAAGTGTTTCCACATCAATGAGGCAACATCTAATTTAGGTGATTCCATCAAAGCAGCCATAGCAAGAATGCCCACATCGGTCTTTCTAGTCTGATGGTTATTTGGTCTTCCGAAGACAAAATAACCAAACCATTTAAGCATAATTCGAAAAACAGGGTGCTGAACATGACTGATATACATGTGAGATGTTCTAACAATTCTTTCACCTGTCATTCTTTTCCACATCTCATGCACAACTGAGGTGTCAATTTTCCTACCTCTTGCCTCCTTTTCTAAAATTGGCAGTCCAAAGTGTTCTGCAAACTCATATTTCGTTAACTCTTTTTCATCGTTGAGATAACGGAATGTGAGCTTGTCCTTATACTCATCGTTGGCATCATCAGTAAATTTGCAAGAACCCAAAAATTCATATATAACTCTTTCATTCGGATTATAGGCTATGTTCATTAAGGAGATTAATCCTAGCCTATTGCATAGTTCGATCATCAAGTCATAGAGCAACAAAGCTTTCAACGAAGCAATGCAGAGAAATCTACATGGGTATACCTGTCTTTTAGTTTCCTCGATGAATCTTTTGCGGTGAGCTTGGGTGGTGAATTGCAGGCCTTCGTACCCGGGGACTTCGGGGACTGGAACTGATGCCGTGGAGGATGAAGGACGACTTCTTTTGGGTGGCATAGTATTTTTCTTGAGAGAAATTGCAATTTGGGGATTTTTTCTTGGCTAGGGTTCGGATTTGAGGATTTGGGGGAGAAAAATGGAGATTGAGGGTATGATAGTGATGAGGGAGATGATGGGAAGGGATTTGTGTGGTTTATTTTGGGATTGGGTGAGGGATTTGGGTGATTTGGAAGCTTGGTTATCGTGGCTATGGAGGTTTGGAAGGAGAGAGGGGCGGATTTTTGGGGAAGATGGCGTTGAAAACCGGTCTGTTGGCCTGTTTAATTGGGTGAAATACGTAAACCCGATCGGGTTTTTGTATTTACCCGGACGGGTTTTCGATTTTTGAAGCAGGCAGAATGTTTTTTCGACTTTTACCCGGCGGGTTTTATCATTTACCCGGACGGGTTTTCGATTTTGCAAAACAGAATGTTTTTCGCCTTTTTACCCGGTCGGGTCTCTAGCATACCCGATCGGGTTTTAGTGTTTTTGGTTTTTTTAAGAATTTGTCTTAGCCCGGCGGGTTTTCTGGTTCGGGTCTGAATTTTTAAACCTCTTACCCGACCGGGTATGAGGTTTTACCCGGCCGGGTTTTGCCAGGCCTCAATTTTTTTTTTTCATCTTTTTTTTTGAAAATGTTTAACACACACACAAGTTAAATGAAAATTGATAAAAATAAAAACTTGGGTTGCCTCCCAAGAAGCGCCTCATTTAACGTCGCGGCACGACGCTATCATTGTTTTCAGTCATTCAAACTTGGATGATGATAGTTTATTTTCTTCACATTTTCACTCTTAGGACTTCCATAGGAGTGCTCAATTTCTCGACTCTCCACTTTGGAATTTTTTCCAGGATCAAATATCCAGATTTTCATTGATTCGTGTGGTGGGAGGAATGGGGAGAAATTATCCTTTAGTATGGTCAATAAAAAGTTTTTCGGCTCCTCAATTTTGAAGAATATTTCAGAAATGTCATTGTCTTTTTCAAGTTTATGAGTTTTCCTCAAAATTTTCAGAATTGATGGGGGTACCTCAAAAGATGACAAGGATAGATATTTAACCTTGAAGCTCAGATTATCCTCTTCTTTGACCAGTTGGAGCTCTGTGTCCTTTTCTTCCTCTACTTCTTCTGGATTCTGGATCTCTTTTTGCATTTCCTCTTCATTTTTCAATGTGATTGCAAAAGTTTGTTGTCTAGGATCACATTCTATTTGAGAGGAAGGTTTTCCCGGATCCCTTGCTTCAAGCCTACTCACGACTCCAGCTATTTGACTTACTTGAGATTCCAAGCTCAAAATGCTAGTCTTGGTCTCATTTTGGAAATGCACAATGTTTTGTTGCATGGTGGTTACGCTGTTAGCAAGAGCCCGAACCATGTCCTCCGTGGACATATTAGAGTCGGAGAATGGATCATACCTCATGTGAGGTACATCATCAATTTGTGCAATGTATTCTTCTTGGACCTTTGGGCAGAAGTCCGTAAGATGTCTGTGAGACATGCAAATGTTGCATGTCTTGGCATCTTGAGCTTTTGAGTTAAAGATAGATTCCTTTATTAGAGAAGTCAAGAAGGAAATTTGACTCTCTAAGGATGAAGTGTTGGTATCCATATACTCATAACTCATGTAAGCTCAGAAAATAGAAGAGCAAGATTTTTTTTACTTTCTTTTTTTTTTTGATTTTTATGAGATAAAATAAAAAGAAAAAAATAATTGCCTTTCCCCGGCAACGGCGCCAAATATGACGTGCACTTTGTCGTGCGGTGCACTCAAAATAAATACAATACAACGAATATACGTACTATAACGAAGTAAGGTTCGTATCCACAGGGAAAGGAATACTTTTCTTTTATATAAATAATAACAAAAAGGGGGGTTTAGATTTGTTTGTTTTAACAACACTAAGATAAACAACCTATATGAGTTTAATGCAATGAGATGGGGACTTGGTCTTGCTTTTATCCACTTAATGAAATGTTCGTCGATCCCGGTTATATCTTTAACTATCTTCCTCTCGAATACTCAATCGAGGAGTATATCCAGTTCATCGAGGGTAGTTATTAATAACGAGATGCGTTCATTAATAAAACTTACTATCGAGTCAATATAGAACAAGCGCCGTATATTAACTTGATAGTAGCAATAAACTTAAGATGAAAACGATTGAGATTGATAACCTCAACACAAGCGGTTTATTGGTTTAATCAATATAATTAATTCCCCTTGGCATATTAACCATGAGATGCATGCATTAATATTCCAAGATTACTACCGTTGAAAGAACCGGATTAATAACAAGCGTATTAACCGATTGATTCTAGTAATAATTAATATGAGAAACAATACTAGTTGATACTTTAAGTAATGTTTAAGATATTAACATGAAATATGAATAGGAATTAATCAATACTCAAGGAAGAATATTAAAATATATGAATCCTACTATGATTAATATCAAGATGTTAACTAATTGTCATCTTAGCAACACTCCCCAATATAATCATAGAGGAAGAAATAGCTATTACTATAACCAATGTCAAGATGTTAACTAATTGTCATCTTAGTAACACTCCCCAACTTTGATATAGAGATAGTATTTTGAAAGAAAGAATTAATATTCAAGGAAGAAGATTAAAGAAAAATAACTCACAACTTACAAATTCATTAAGCTTCAAAGTAGCAAAACCAAGATGGAAGAGTTTAGCTCCTCATTTGGAGACTAAACATGATGAAAAATATAAAGAAAGAGCTATTCTATACTGAGCTTAGATGTACAAGGGATTGGATATCAAATGGGAAGGAAAAGAGGTGTATTTATAGGTGTTTGGAGGTAGCAGGGTCATTTACCCGACCGGGTTTTACAGAAACCCGATCGGGTTTCTTGAGTAATTGCCCGGAATGTTCATTAGTCACATCTACCCGATCGGGTTTTTGATTTACCCGATCGGGTAAAAGACAAATCTTTTCCAAATCTTCGCTCTGCATGTTAAATTGCCTCCAAATCAAATTTGATCTTCGGGTCAAGTCAAACCCGGTCGGGTTTTTGGAAAACCCGGTCGGGTTTTTTGACTATTTTCCCAAATTTTCACTTTTTGTTGTTCCCTTGCACTTTCCTTGAACCTTCCAGGATCCTTTTGACGATCTTTACCTAGTTTAAGCTCAGAAAGTCCCTAATCTAAACAAATTACAACTATTTTACAAACTAAACTATTACACCAAAAGTGTGTAATATCCAAAGTGAAAGTCAATCAAAACTAATTAAAAATACAAAAATAAACATGGAAATTACATGAATGTCAACAACCTCAGTATAAAAGATACACTACGAAGAACAACCGGATAACTTGGCCATAACCTTGCTATCACATTGCTAACCAAGCAAGATATTCAAACTCTGAAAAGCAAAAGCCTCCTTGAGATTCAAACTTAGTATCCTCTACAAGAGAAGGCAGAAGTTGGAAATATACTCTTTCCAACTCAAGCAAAGTTCCAAGTGTTCTTCAACTCTTCAAGCTCTTCACATACACATATTTTGTAACAAAGCTAGTTGGAGGAACCTCAGTTTCAACAGAAACTCTTCTTGCTACAAGAAGGACGTCCAAATAACTGGAGTAGTGAAGTGGTGATACTTCAAGGAAACTCAGTGAAAGGATCAGTGTTAAAGGAAGCCAGGCAGTGCATCCCAGGACACATCTAGGCTTGAAGAAGACGTGGAGTGCTTCTTAAGTACTAGGACTAAGGCTTTGTAAACGACAGTTTTTACAGCTTAGTGGAACAGTGGATTAGAGGAACGAGTTGTTCCTTGAACCACTATAAAAATCCCTGGTGTCGTTTACTTACTGCTTTTAATACTTGCACTTAGATAAGAACTGTATAACTCCTTGGACTTGGTATCTGGGTTCAGCAGATCTGGTTCTACGAGTTAACAGAAGGCCTTCTGCCTTTGCTTCTCTGAGGCTAACAGAACTCCCTGCCAGAACCCCATCCGCTGCCAGTCTGTTCTTTCAACCGAACAGGCTATTTTGAAAATCTGGTACTTAGTTTAAAAAGCTAAAAACCAATACAGTCTATTCACCCCCCCCCCTCTAGACTGTATCCAGTATAACCGGGACCAACAAGTGGTATCAGAGCCTCCTTGTTCTAATAATCTCTTAGGTTATTTGTTGAACAAAGATCCACTTGTTTTTCTGTGTTACCTCATTTCTATCTGATATAATGGATCACTCCTTGTCCAAGAATCTTATGTTTTCAGATCTTAAGTTTGATGACTGGAGGATCCGGATGAAAGCACATCTCTGTGCCCTGCATGATGAGATGTGGGAAGTTCTAGATATTGGCCCCTTCACAACCTTCCAGAAGGTCAATCCTGAACATGCCATAGACAACACCAGACCCCAGATGATCAGCAAAGCCAAGTCAGAATGGACCACTGAAGAGAGGAGAAAATACAATCTTGACAATATTGCCAAGGACATCCTCTACAAGTCCATTGATGATAGGTACTTCAACAGAATCAAGAAGTGCAAGACTGCTAAGGAGATCTGGGATACTCTTGAGCTCATTGGAGCTGGTGATGAGCAAGAGAAGGACAACAAACTAACCATAGCCAACAAGAAGTTTGATGACTTCAAACTTCTCCCTGGTGAAAGCATCTCCAAGATGTATGACAGGCTCCTCACTCTCACTGGAGAGATTTCTGAGCTTGGCAAGGATCTCACAACCAAGGAGATCAACCTGAAGGTGTTGAGGGGACTGCCCTCAGCATGGAAGATGAAAGTAGTTGATGTCCAAGCCAGCAAGGATGTAAAGACTTATCCCACTGATAAGCTCATTTCAGATCTCAAAGCTCATGAGTTTGAAATGATTGAAGAAAAGGAAGATGTACCAGAAGAGAGGACCACAACAGCCCTCACTGCCAGCACATCTAAGGTAAATGATTTTGACCCTTCAGTACTTTTATCTGATGAATATATGGCTGCCTTTGCCAGGAGATTCAAAAAGTTTATGAAGAATCCCAAAGATGGAAGGAGTCCATCTTTCAACAGAAAGCCATACCAGAAGGTCAAATCAACAGAAAGCAGTGGGGAGCTTCTCTGTTACAACTGCAGACAACCTGGTCACTTCAAGGCTGATTGTCCCCATCCTAGAGTGTCCAAGAAGCAAGGACAGGATGGAGAAAAGAAGAAGTACGAGGACAACTCCAGAAGGAGAAAGGCACTTGTGACAGAACAGGTGGAGAAAGACCCTCTGTCAGAAACAGAATCCAGTTCTGACTCAGATTCTGATGAGGCCTTCTGTTGCCTGGATACTGAGACAGAAGACCTTTGCCTGATGGCTCATTCTGATGATGAGGTAACCTCTACTTCTGAATCTAGTTTTTCTTCGGTAGGCTTAGCTTTTGATTCTGATTCAATATCAGAATTTTGGGAAGAGTTTAAGGCCATACAAGCCACTTATTCTTCTGTAACAGAAGAAAACGGTAAGTTAAAAGCTGAAATTCTTGACTTAAAGAAGGAGGTTGAGATCAAAATCAATCTTCTAATTGAGGAAAGAGATCAACTGGAGACTGAAAATGTTTCTCTTCTTAAGAGAATAAGAGAAATAGAGCCTCTCTAGATTAAGTACAAAGCTTACCAGAAGGCCCAGTCTTCCATGGAAAAGATTGTGCTTGATCAACAGATTGGCACTGGTTTTGGTCTTGGTTATGGCTCAACAGAATCAGGTGAGCCTTCTGTAATGCATAGCACCAGAGTTGCTAAGACAGATAAGGTCATAGAGCCACTGATTTCTAGCCCCATCTGTCAAGCTGGTGTATCTAGCACCAAGGTTGTTCATGAGGAAATCAGACCAGAAAAGGGTAAGATAAAGGTTCAACAGAAACCCTTTTTGAAAATTAATGAACCTGGCAGAAAACCTAACAACAGAAGAGGTTTTCAGAATAACAAAAATAAAAGACCATTCATTGACAGACAACCTCATGTCAATCGTGCCACAAATGATCACCAGAAGGGCAAATATCAAGAGAGAGTTAACTTCAGGCAGAAGAGGTTGGCTGGTCAACTTCAGAAGCCCAAGGTTAACCGTCCCTCTGCTCTTGATAGTATATGGGACTTCTTTCCAACAAAGAAAGCTATGCAAAAGTATGTAAACAGGAAGCATGACCCTCACAAGCATCTGCCCAAAGTGAATCACACTTCAGTTTACTATAACTACCAGGTGGACAATGGGTACCACCCACCAAGGTTTCACTTGATGAGACCAAAATGGTACCAACTACCCAGACTCCATGACCCCCCAGGACCCAGCATTGCTTGGGTACCTAAATCTTTCTTTTGATCTTACAGGAACTGTGTGCTGGAGCTATCTCTGAACAAGAATGGTTTATTGATAGTGGATGCTCCAGGCACATGACCGGTGACAGAAGTTGCCTAACAGAGTTCCAGAAATGCAAAGGACCCAGAGTTACCTTTGGAGGTAATGACAAAGAAGGTCAAACAAAAGGAAGAGGAAAGCTGATCAAGAACCAGATAATCATTGATGATGTCTCATATGTCAAAGGACTGAAGTTCAACTTTCTGAGTTCAAAGGCTACACTGTTGAATTCACAAAGGACTTCTGCTATGTGAAGCATGAGACAACAAAGGAAGTGGTTCTTACAGCATCAAGGAAGAAGAACATCTATGTAGTTGATTGGAACACTGCAAAAGATGGAGTTTGCCTGATAGCCAAGGGAGATTCAAAACTGAGCTGGGACTGGCACAAAAAGCTCAATCATTTGAATTTCAAAACAATCAACAAACTAGCAAGAGAACACATTGTAGAAGGGCTACCAGACATTGTGTACAAGAGAGAGACCCTCTGCAGTGCATGTCAGAAAGGCAAACAAGT